TGGTGCAGTAGTGGCATTGTTATCTGGGGGGGGATCAACAGCTATCTAATTGAACTTAAAGCCTTCTCAATGGGAGTGAACTCATGAATGGCACTGTAAACTTAGCCAAATACACATAGCAGGAGAGAACATAGATCCTAGAGAAAACCCTATCTCTGTCATATGTCTAGACAAATGAAATTTCTTACCATATGCTATATATGGATCCTTATATTTACAGACAAGCATACCATACTCCACACATCAAAGAAGTTGCTTTTTACAACAGATGGAAGGCACTGCAGATTTTCACAACTGGTCAGACACAGAGAATATACGTCTGAGAGATGCTCAGTACTACAGTTGAACCTCTACACCTAAGGCTCATGGAACATAGCAGAACAAGGGGTAGAGAGAAAACTAGTGCATCCCTCAACTCTCACCACTGAAGCTTCCTTCAACAACAGAGTGTGATGCACACAGAAGGCCACGACTGGCCAAGTTTTAAAGAATAAGAGACTGCAGAATGTGTATTCTTTTATGGGACTCCTATATTGAACCTTACCTGCCCATGGCTCTGGGACCATTGTGGAAGAGAGGGTGGGAAAGATTCTAAGATCCAGAGCTAGTTCATGAACACATGGAAGCAGAGGCTCTCAGGCCACTGGAAGCTTGCACATGTGAACTTGTGGCAATGGTGCCATCAAGCACAGGACCCATTTCAACTCAAACAAGGGTCCAAAGGGGAAGAGAGAAATGGCTGGCGGGTTGGCCCCAGACTGAGAACTATTGGAGACTTATTGCTACTGGGAGATGGACAGTATGCCTTACATATGATCTCTAGATAGGCTGACTGGACTCCAGTGGACGAATTTACACTGAAGGACATCTGGGTACAAATGCTTGACTGGATGGGACTTAATGCGTATGGTGGAATACATGAGGTTCAGTGGGGGGATGGGGAGGAACATGGATGGGGCATGCAGCCTGTGGTGGTTTGAATGAGAATGTCCCCAGAGGCTCCAAGTATTTGGACATTTTTGTCCCCAGTTGGTGGCGCTGTTTTGGAAGGTCTTAGAAAGTGTGGCAATGCTGGAGGAAGCATGTCACTGGGGGCAAGCTTAGAGCGTTCTTAAGCCTTGCCAGATCTCGAGCCTCTCTCTTGCTTCCTGTGCCTGCTTGAAGATATGAGAGCTTAGCTTCTGCTCCTCCTCCAACTACCTCTGCCTCCATCTCTTCCCACCATGATGGACTGACTCTTGCCCCTTTGGAACTGTAAGCTAAATAAACTCTTCCTTTTATGAGCTCTCTTGGTCATGGTGCTTGTAGCACCACAACAGAAATGTGACTAATACAGGGCCTAAAGTTGATTAAGAACTGTTACATAAAAGTACAGAAGCTCCATAAAAAATTTTTTGAAAAGAAACAGATTAATGGTATCAATTTGGCAAATATCAACATAAAAGATGTGTGGTGTTCTTCATACACACTTTTAATGTCCTTGTCTTTGTGCCCCTTCTGTTTGCTGGCCTTAGATATGCTATATGATTCCTAGTCTAGGTCAGTAAAAATCAGAGAGCTTCCACCAGTTTCCTTTAGGGACATTTGTTCTCCAGAGGCTTCCTCTTGGAGACAATCCCTTTCAGATCTTAGACATCATGCTGTGCAAAGTCATAAGATTTGCAGGTGAGAAGCCCCCAAATGAATTTGTCCTTAACCCTTCAAAGCTCATCTGCCAGGGAGGTGACTTAAGATCCCAACCCCCTTCATCAGGCACTTAGTCATCTTGTTTTAAAATCCAACTTTTGCTCTTCTAAACATAAATGAAATTTGGCAACCAACATGCCTAAATCTTGCTGCCTGTCAACTAAGGCATTTTCAAGGAAATGGTCTTTCTACCACAAATGTTCTAGTTAATAAAGCCATCCTGTATTTTTTGAATCACCCTACTTGTGATTCTAGAAATCGTAAAACAGAGACAAGCCATTCCTGCTGTTCGCTCTAGAATATCTTGACCTATGTGTGAGATAAAAATGAGTTGTTTTACTTGGGGAGGTTGGTTACACAACAAGCGATAAGGAATGTGTGGTAAAGAAAGCCTTCAGGAAATATTAGATCAGTCAGGAAGAGTGTGAAGAGGGAAATAAGACTATGATAGGGAACCCCAGACTTAAAAGGAAAGGGAAAAGCTGAATAGGAAAAAAAAACATATAAGAAACAGGTGGATATCAGTTAAGTGTAGTGTCATGGAAGCCAGAGTAAGTTTCAAGGATAAAGTAGTTGTAAAGAGTGTCAAATGCTGCTGACAGGTCAAAGATCAGTGGGAAATGTCTATAGGTTTCAGTAAGGAGGGCAGCGGTGCCTCAGGAGAGCAGCTTCCCTGAGGACAGATAACAAAATTGGAATTCTTTGAGGAGAGAGGAGTAGGAATAAAGAAGAAAGGAGGGGCTGACCTTAGGCCAAAGAGAGCTTACCTTTCATCTATGATAGAAGAAAAGAGAGAAGTGGTATGTGCAGATTTCAGCAGGTCTGTGTACTGGTTAATGAGTCTACCAGGTTCCTTCCAAGGACTTCTGTTCTCTCTTGAGGTAAGATTTTTGAGGGGAAAACAACTTAGAGGAAGGACATGTTCAACATTACTTAGAAACTATGATGGGATTTAACCCTGGCTAAAATTTAGGTACCCATTTTTCCAGCTGCTTCGTCCATGGTCCATGACATCAGATTATTGGATATGAAGCACAAGGAAAATAGATCAAATCCAGGTTACTTCTACAATTGGTCGCATGAGGTGTATGCTTGGACAGCATTATATTAAATATAATAAGCCAGACAAAGAGAAATAAAAGAACAGAGCTATGATGTTTAGTATTGATTGTCAACTTAAACAGAATCTAGGATGAGCTGGGAGATGGGCCACTAGGCATTAGTGTGGTGGTCTTCCTTAGCTTAACTGAGGTGCCCACTGTGGGGATAATCATTCCCTGGCTAAGAATGAGTAGCAGGCATGCATACATTGCTCTGTCCTTCCTGACTATGGATATAATGTGATCTGCTGCTTCAAGTTCCTGCTACTATGACTTACATGCCATGACGTACATTGAACTGCGAGCTAAAATAAAACCTTTCTTTCTGAGGTTGCTTTTGTTAGAGTATTTTATCACAGCATTGGAAAAGTAAATAAAACAAAGTTCAAACAAAGAAACAAAACTCCCAAACTCAAATGCACATGCTGGACTTTGACAATCATTTAACTATGTGTATGCTTGCCACATCATATTTTGTGCTTTAAACCTGTACAACTTAAATGGAAATAAAAGGCAGAAATATGAGAAAGCAGCTTTCCCACCAACAAGGGCAGGTACTTTTACCCTCACTCTAGCAGATGGTCACATGGCTGATGTTCTGGATAAAGGGAACCTGTTCAATTAGAAGCTGCTGAAGCTAAAGAGGTGAGATCTCTGCCTCCAGTTCTGGGACCCTTCTGAGAGAACTTCTCCAAATTGCACCCGCCCATACCATTTCCATTCATTCAATATCCTGCTTGACCATGGAGTCTGAGTTCTAGAGTATCTCCTTCCGAAGTCTGTCATCTGAAGGACATTACATGGATGAATCTTAGATTAGTCAGCATGTGTGTCTGAGGCTGTCAGAGGGGTCTAGAGCTCACTCGTGCTCTCCTATTCTGCCTGCAGGACTCTAGTGAGAGGAACTAATGGATCTTAAGCCCCCAGACACAAAAGCACACAGAAACAATTATTTAATTAGGAAAAAACTATTTAAAATGACTTACAACAGAGCACATTTATTAGTACCGGAATGTTCTCAGAGTTGCTTCAGAAGGCTGCACATTATATTTATTTGTTTCCATTAGCATCTACTGATAATGGTTTGGTTAATCCTCTCTCCACTGCACTAGGAAGAAGACCTCCTCAACATAGTTCTTATCTATCTTCGCATTGGTTATTCAGTGAACATTTATTGTGTACCTATGGTATGCTAGGAGGTACCTTAAGCCCTGTACCTCCATTATCTACTTCAGATCTCCTCTTTCTCCTAATCTTCTTCCTCCTTCTTTCTCCTCCTCCTCCTTTACTTCTCTTTGTCCTCCCTCTCCTCTCTTCGCCTCTTCTACTTCTTCCTCTCCTTGACTCTTCTCTTTCTACACATACACACACAGGGTCTTTATACCATATAATCATGAAACCTAGAGTTACTGCTCCCAGCAACAGAAGTGTTGATGGCAACAGCTGGTGATTTCTCCTTAAGACTAAGTAAGGTTTTCCAGGTCAATGAGATTTCAGGAGGTTCTTGAGGAAACATGACTTAAATTTTGTTAGGGGAAATTTTATAAAAATGCCTGCTTCCTGTGCCTTGCCATACCATCATGGCATGTGACTGAGCTGCCTGGTCCCAGATCAAGGGCTTACTTAAGCACCAGTAAGGCCATCTATCACATAGGGTTGCAATGTGTATCAGAGGCCAAATGTTCCAAGTCCTTCCTTTTATTTTGGACAATAAAGATTTCTTTGTTAAGTGCAATGCTCTTTCAAGTAAATTTCCCATCTGTTAGAAGCTAGGTACATCTCTTGAAATTATTTCTTAGATTTCTCATAGCTCTGCAAAAAAATTGTTGTGCATTTCCTAACACATGATTCAACCAACCAGATATGCTATCATTTCTCCTGAAAATTATTGCCTAAGAGAACTGATTGTTGAGTGGAAATAACCAACGGAGAGGGTAAAACTTCTAGACTTACAGTGAAAATACAGAGGAAGCAATACAGCTGTTCCCTTCTCTTTCATATTGGGAAAGGATACCTCTTGAGTCGATCAAAGCTGGATTTTTACACAAGATGTTAACAGATCTCTTGCTATGGAGACATCTTTTCCAAGTATATTCTAATGGTGTTAAGAAGTGGAAAGTTAGGGTTGTACCAGACTGGAGTTGGAAGTCAAGAATATATTACTTACTGTCTATGTTAGGCTAATAGTGACCAATAAAAGTATTCCAGCACAAGTACAATTCAGAAAGGGTTTAATAAACAGCCACTAAACATTGCACCAAAGCATTTGAAAACACAATTTCTACAGAGAGGCAAAGGTCAGGCTTCCATTCTATAATCCCTTAAGACGGTCATTAACAGCCCCACCCACCCCACCCCCATCCCCACATAATCCACAAGACGACAATCTTCTAGTCATTAATTTACCTACAGACACAGTCTTAGGAATAATGGGACTGGCATGCATTATCCCAGCAATGGCAAGGAAGCATGGGAGAGGAAAAGATGGGTGAAAAGGCAACCAGCAGCTAATGACACACCCCTTGGGAGCTTCGCTCAGTGGCTGGGCAGGGAGATTCCACTTGTAGTGCTATCTGTGCTTTTACCTTGGACTTGTAAGATGCTCTGCACTAGTTGAGTTATTCAGATCCAATGTTAACGTTGTTAACTCTCTAAAGACTTTTTAGTGTTCAAACTGTCTTCATGACACAGGCCTTCTGAGATTGTGCTGACTGTAAGGTTAAAGTGACTGTGACATCTTGGTCTTTTCTTCATTACAACCTTTGGAAAGGGGTACAGGATAGCTCTTTAGTAAAGACACTTCTAAGAAGCCGAGACAAATTATTCAAACTTTTGGATCTCAGCCTATGTGCCTTATAAAAATTGGGTGTTTGTTCCTGTTCCTTTTACTCACATTTAAAGACAAACAAGATCAAATGGCCTCTAAATAATACATCATAAAATTGGTCATGAAGTTAATGATTTAACTGATTCAAAAATGAGTAGAGATATTTGTATGAATCTGTAATTCACCTCTCCTAAGAACTGGCATCCACAGTGGATAAAAGGTCCTTTACATGGTGGGAGCAAAGTGCCTGGGCCTGGAGAAAGGGGTACAGTATGGACAATACAGAAGGAAAGGTTTGACTTTTGCCAGCCAGAGATTTCAGCTCTGTTTTTTTTGTTGCTTTTGTTTGTTTTGTTTTGTTTTGTTTTGTCTTTTTTGAGGCAGGGTTTCCCAGTAGCCCCAGCTGGCCTGGAACTGAGATCAGCCTGGCCGATTTCAGCTCTTAACTGATCTCGGGCTGCTTGTCTAGTTGCCTTGGCACAAAGGTGAGGTTGTTTTTTTTTTCCAATCTTTGAGAAAGATCTGTGTAGGCATTTGACTTAGATCATCTTGTGTCTCTTTGCACCTTTTTAATTTAACTAAACATTATCTGATCTATTTTTTTCCAGAAGAATTTGCAGGCAGCAATGAATTCCAACTAAGCAGTGCCCAGATGGCAATAAGGGGCTTAAAGATTTTAACTGAAGAGGAGTTTTCTGAAGGACAGATGTATTGAGATGCTACATTCCTGAGGGCCTGGAACTAGGAGAGTGCCAGCTGTCATGATACAAGGATGACCCGGCTAGTTCTATTTGTTTTGATCCTACATGATTGACAGAATTGAGCCTCAATTGTCCCCACTAACCTCCAAGGAAAGAGTTTAGAGGTCATTTCAGAAGTTTGCACTGGCTTCTGCCTTTTCTACCAGTTTGTATACATAGTAGACCCTGCTGTGGGTGTGGGAGACAGCAGATAGGATCATATGGGATAGCCTATCCTGACTCCATAGTGAGTCAGATTCATTCAGTGTGGCCCAGTCAATAATGATCCTGGATTTCTCCAACCAGAACTGCACATAGCCAAGGCTTCCACTATAGGAAGAGAAGTATCCAGTTCTTTCTGCAGTAGGCAGAGTGCAATTAACACATGCAATGCCTTCAGCGGGGGACGACTGGCAGACTAAGATGAGCAACTGCACAAATGGCAGTGTTTGGCTCTGACTGGGATATACTAAGCAATGGTCAAGGGGCAAGTAATTTTTCTGTTGTTACATTTTCATTAGGGTCCAGAAATATGAACTGAGAGTCACAACTGGGAATAGGGTTAAAAATAAGAATTCTGAAACACATGAAGGGAAGCCCTGGGGTTTGGGTGCTTGGATGCATCATGGGGTATACAGTGCTCTGGTTGCTGTACCATCGCTACTATCTACTGTTTGCGGATCATGCCCTTGATAGCCGATTCTCGGTTCACATATGTGGCCCAATAGACCAGATTGAATATGGCAAAGAGGACAGGAAAGATGATGCGGGAAATTTTGTCAACCTTGCTGACACTGTTATAGGTCTTGGTCTCAGCAGGACTGTCCTGCACATAGGTAGCCTTGGGTGAAGCAATGATGGTCGGAGTTGAAGAGGCACTGGGAGCAGCGCCCTTCGAGATGGTGGAGAACTCAGTGTCCTTGGCCAGGTTGATAGGATAGGTAGTTCCCACGATGTTGAAGGTGGTGCTTGTTTTCTTTGTTGGGGCTGCTGGTGTTTTCTTCTAGAACCAGGAAAAAGAGGGGAAGAGGAGAACAGATTAATTCACTGCATAGGGTGCCTTCAGACTATAAGGAGGAACAGCCATGAGGGAAGTTAAGGAACTCACTAAGTAGCCATGTTTATATGTTTTTTTTTGGGGGGGGGTTCCCTGCAGCCCCAGCTCTCATGGAACATGCAGATCAGGTTGACTTGTATCTCACAGAGATCTGCCTGCCTCTGCCTCACAAGTACTAGGATTAAAGGTATGCACCACCACACCTGGCCTAGGGATGATAAACAGAATATAGAAAACTTGCATTATCTTAGCTGTCCTGGTTACCTTCAAATGTGACCTGATAAGGGGGTTCTCAATTGAGGGATTTCCCAGATTAGATTGGGTTGTGGGAATGTTTGTGGGGGGTTGTGTTGATTGATAATTGATATAGGAGGGCCCAGCCTACTATAGGTGGTGCCAAGCTTGGGCTGTACAAAAAAGCTAGCTAAGCATGATGACCCTGTGAGTGAGCCAAAGACTGAGGCAGCAAGGAGTTTCCTTCCTTGGTTTCTGATTCAGCTTCCTTTTGAGTTCCTGCCCTGACTTCGACTGTAACCTATAAAGTTAAATATGCCCATTCCTCCTCTACGTTGTTTTTGGTCAGAGTGTTTAATCACAGCAACAGAGATGAAACTAGAACATTCGTTTTCTAGCCATGTGGCTTTGGATAAATCACTTTTCCTTTGTGAGCTTCAGTTTCTTCATCTATAAAAGAAAGATAAAAATTGACAGATTGTTGAGAAGATCAGAGAGGAGACTGGCAGTGGGAATCACTAGGAAATGATGAAATGCTCATCACGTGTGAGGTCTTACAGACCATGTGATTTTTATCTTGCACAGTAACCCTATGACATAGGTAAGATTATTTATTCCCATTTGATAGATAAGTCAGCCTCAGAGCACATACTGCCAATATTGTCTCCTGACTTTTGTCCAGAGATGCATTGTGCTGTTTTCTATATAAGACATTGTTTGGTTCCCCAAGGGAAAATGATCTCCAAGAGGCTGCAACCATCAAGGGGCGCATCTCCTGTGAAGAACAGAGCTTGGTGAATCTGCAAAGTCATTTTGTATTAAAGACATAATAAATATTATGGCACGATTACATGCATCATTGCAACAGCATGCCACCCTTCATGCACCATAAATGTGCTCAGCAAACTCAGGGGCATTCAAACATTTTCCACTCTTGCCAGACTGCCGACAGGACCTAGAGTTCCCACAGAGATGAATGAGTCACCTCTTCTGACACAGCAAAAGCAGAGACAGTTGAGAGCTTGCTGTGATACTGATTTCCTTTCTTCCAGGGTAAATTATTTCAAAAACAGCCTCTCTCTCTCTCTCTCTCTCTCTCTCTCTCTCTCTCTCTCTCTCTCCCTCTCCCTCTCCCTCTCCTCTTCTCACACAAACATAATAAACATGTTAGCTTCGCTCCCTTTCTTCTAGGTGCTCACAGTCCAGTGTTCAAGAGAACCATTTGAACATAGGACTGTCATGTGTATGATTGGTGTTCTAACTCTTGAGTAAAGTGCTATGAGGATTCAATGGAGGACAAAGTATCTTCAGTTGTAGGAAAAGTAGCTCAGAGAAGGCAATGAGGTTTCTTATCTGGGTCATAAAACCTGACTGGGAGTCATTAGATAAGAATGCAGCCAAGGCCAGTGCACAGGTTCAGGGTACTGTTGAGGGATGGCAAGGAGTTTGTTGTGGCTGGATCACAGTGTACATGGCAAAGAGTTGCAGGAAATGAAGATGTTCAGATAACAGAGACCGAATCTTGCAAAGCCTTTTTTATGCCATGCGTTTCTGCTCTGCCTGCCTATGGTGACGTCAGTGTTTGTGGTCAGGAAGGGGGAGTATGAAAGATAAGGAGGTGTTGATTAAAGTAAATAAGCAGTCTGACTAATAAGACATTGTAAGAACAGTATTTTTTGTTTCAGGATTGCAGTCGCATTGCTACAATTGGAAGGGGGGACAGAATTCAAAACCTTCTAAGAAACTTGTAAATGGTTTAAATACTACATGAGACTCATTTATAATTAGCAAAGTCATTCTGTGACTAGAGTCCTGCTGCTAAATGCTTTTGCTATTAAATAAAATAGTGCTTTACTTGTTTGCCTGCTTATTAACTTGCTTGGTAATTTCTTTTTTCATGGTTAGATCAAAAAAAGAAAGAAAAAGAGAAACAGGAAAAAAAAATTACCCTGACTTTGCTAGAACCTATTACGTGCTATTTTATTTAATCATCTTATAAATTGGTCTTTGAAACAATCATTTGGGGCCATAAACACTTACTTTGTCTCTACAGGTACTTTATGTTCTCCAGATGAAAGGAAGCAGTAGCTGATTTAGTCATAAATGTTTAAGTAATAAAGTAAAATTACCGTTTAATTTCTCTCACCATTTACAACATTACATATTTTTTATTTTTCTTTGTCCTTTTGAGACAGGGTCTCTCTGCAGCTCCAGCTGGCCTGGAACTCACTATGTAGACCAGGCTGGCCTCAATTTCACAGAGATTTTACTGCCTCTGCCTCCCAAGTGCTAGGATTAAAGGCGTGTGCCACCACGCCTGGCCTGCATGACATATTTTAATCATCGCTCTATTTCTACCTGCATTGTCAAAGAAGGAAATGAAAGTCATAGTACAGAGAAGGCAGCAGCAAGAGTGAGAAATTAATGCTTAATATGTTTCCATTTTCACATCTAGTGCTCCAATTCTTGCTCAAGAATTTGATAGCTACAGGGTAGACTCATTTGAGATGACCCCATTGTTCTTCCATTCCTCCATCCCTAGCCAAGTACTTGGCTTACAGAACAGGATGGATGTTTGCTGAAAAAAAAATATACTCTTCTAAATTTTTCATGCAGCCTGATACCATAATAAAATACCTTTTGTTCTAAAAAGTCATTTCATGTGGGTTTGGGGATGAGGCAATGAAAACTTTCATAATCAAATTCATATATAACTCAAGAGTCTTCCTCGGATGGCGCTAGTTAGATAAGTAGCCTGGACTCTAAATGTACTTGAAACCCTCTCTGAATATGTGCTTAAGTAGTCCAGTACCTCTGTGTAAACCATCTATAAATACCAGACTTCAGTTTTCAGAAGTGGGGCAAAGCAATAATATATATAGTATATGGGATTTTAAAAAATGAACAAAATTATTACCAACAATCAAAATAGATCTAATGAAAAGCAGTCAAAGGACTTGAAAAGGCATTTCCCCATCAAAAATAATATATACAGATACCCAATAGACCCATGAAAAGATATTTAACAACACTAATTATTAGTAAAATGAAATCTGTCACAATGAGATGTATACATTGAGATCGCTACTATAAGAACATAGAAAATAAAAGATTTTGGCAAGGATGTGAGAAAACTGGAACTGTTGTGCGTTGTTTGGAATGTATAGTGGTAGGATTGATATAGAAAATGACATAGTGCTTTCTTAAAATATTACAAACAATACCATATAATCCAGCAGTTCCACTTCTGGACTGTGTTACGCCAAATTTAAAACAGAAGTATTTGTATATTCATGTTCATAGCAGCACCATTATCAAAAGCCAAATTCTTTCCACCAAAAGAATCCATAAACAAAATATGGTACATCCATTCAAAGTAGTAGTATTCAGCCTTAAAAGGAAACTTGGACACGTGCTTCAACACGTGTGAATTTTGAAGACATTATGTTCAATGAATATGCCAGTCACAAAGGGTAAATAATATATTATTCCACTCCTAAGAAGTCCCCAGAGCAGCACATTCATAGACACACAAAACTGAGTAGAGCTTACCAGAGTCAGGACTGGAATACAAAGTTGATATTTAATGAGTGGAAAATTATAGTTTTTGTGAGGTGAAAAATATTCTGGAGATTACCTGCTATTTATATATCTCACAGATTTATGTTAAGAATGCAGAAGTTCAATCTTTTTAAATTGATAAATGTTTATAACTAATAATATGCAGCATGTCAAGTCAATCAGGATTTAAATGTTTTTTATTTATTTATTTTTATGTGTATGAGTGTATTGCCCGCATGTGTGTAAGTGCATCTGTGTTGTACAATGCCTGCAGAGGTCAGAAGGTGTCAGATTCCCCTGGAGCTGGAGTTACGGACAGTTGGTAGCCACCATGTGAGTGCTGGGAATTAATGGTTATGTCTCAATTTGTGCCTGTGCACATGCATGCTGTGTCCTTGGTGGACAGAAGAGGGTGTCAGATCTCCTGGAGCTGGAGTTAAAGGTAGTTGTGCTGTGAACTGAACTTGAGTTCTCTGGAACAACAGTACACGCTCTTAACAGCTGAGCCACCTCGCCAGCTCACTAATTTAAATCGTATTTCTTTTACCTTCCTTATGGTGAATGTAGAAACCATCACATTTCTCATGTGATGGCTCGGATGAGAAATACCTCTGATAGGCTCACATATTTGAACATTTGGTCAGTTGGTGGCACTATTTGGTGAGGGTCATGGAACCTTTAAGAAGTATGGCCTAGCTGGAGGAAGTACATCACTGGGGACAGGTTTAAGAGTTCATAGCCTTGCCGCACTTCCAACTTCCTCTCTCTGCTTCCTGCGAGTGCTTGGAGATATGACCTCTCAGCTTTCTGTTCCAGCTGCTTCTACTGCCAAGTCTCACCCCAATGATGGACTCTAATCTCACTGGAACTGTAAGCTCAAATAAACTCTTCCTTTATAAATTGACTCCGTCATGGTGTTTTATCCCAGAAGGAGAAAAATAACTAATTAACCTCAGTTTGCTGGCCTTCTTCATTCTTCTAAAAACACTGATAGTTTTCGAATCTCTTCTATCTTTCCTTTTAGGCTGTGATTTGGACAGGGTTAATACACATGTATACTCTAGATAACTTCCATTCTTGCAGGAAGTTGCCCTTCTATTTGCATTTTTATCTTCTTTCTGTGGGCTTGTCTGATCCCTACAAACCAAGCATGCTTTCTTCCTCATTTGAACACCCTTGACTCAATATTTATGGTTCTTCATATGGAGGCCAGAGGTCAATCTTAGTGTCTTTCTTTATTGGTCTCCACTTTATTTATTATTTTGTGCATATGATTGTTTTGCCTGCATGTACATAAGTATACTACATGCATGCAATGCCTGAGGAGGCCTGAAAAGGGCATAGGATCCCCTGGAACTGGAGTTGTGGATAGTTGTTAGCTACCATATGGGTGCTGGTAACTGAACCCAGCTCCTCAGCAAGAGCAGCCAGTGCTCTTAACCACTGAGCTTTCTTTCCACCCCCCCACCTTACTTTTGGAGACAGAGTCTCTCACTGAGATGGTAGGCAAGAAAAATCCATTTTAATGGATTTAAAGAGAGATATGTTATATATATATTAATGAGAGATATGCTATATATTATATATTTAAACTGTATAAGCTATGATATAAAGATATAGTATACAAATAAGCACACATATATATACATAATATATTATATATATGATGGCTTCCACATTGCTTATAAGGAAAGTAAAAGGAATATATATATATATATACAAACATATTTATATATACACACATACACGTATATAAAGACATTTATATTGCCTATCAGGAAGGTAAAAGGAACATATATGTATATGTGTGTATGTGTGTGTGTGTGTATGTGTGAATGTATGTGTGTCTGTGAATTATAGGTGATTCTTAAACTCAGAACCAAACCAAATTTTTGTTAAGCTAAGCTTTCATGTGCTAGAAATAATCCTTATAATTGTATGTAAAAATTTATATTTGCTCTGTCAAGGGGTAGTTTCTTAATGTCTGTCGTTTCAAAATTCATAATTTTTTTCTGATTCTTAATTCATAAATTAATCATCTCCTAACAAACATTATTTACTGCTGATTTATGAATTTGAATCTTCTACTTTATGTTTCTTCATCTGAGTCATTGAGAGGATAGAGTTAAGGAAGTGCTATGAGTTAGTTATCCTCAGAAGCCTCGGTTCAGTTGAGGCAATGTAGTCCATAAATGAATCCTATTTGACTTCAATTGGCCAGCCAATTATATCAGCCTAATTGTTCTACTTTAAGTGCTTTCTATTCATCATGGAGCATAATAAAATTTAATCAAATGTCTTGATAAAATCTATATTTCCTGTTCTACCAGTTCATTAAACTTTTATTAAAACTCATGAGGCCAGTTTGTCATAATTTGTCTTTAGTAAACTCATACTATATCATTATTGAGGCTAATTTATCTTAAAATATTTAATAATATATTTTAGAATGTTTTGTGTTTACTCTATTAGACTTGGGGCATCTCTGTTCTCTTCCTTAGAACCTGCAAAACAAGGAAACAAATGAGAGATAGAAACAAAACCTATTGATTATTTTGTTTCATTGTTTATTTTTCTTTTTGTAGTGATGATCTTCCAACTTAGAAGGACCTTGATGTTCAAGGCAAGCACTCTACCACAGAGGCACAATCGCTAGGTCTAAAACTTTATCTGTGGTGAAACTGGAATTATTTTATGACATTAAAACTGAAAGGTAAGGGCTTGTAAATTCAATGAAAATCCAATCAGGGTATTGAAGACACTAAGAATATCTGGTTCTCTCATGTTCAGGTCAAGAATGGAATGTCAAAAGGCGATTCCTATGCCCTGAGAGGAGAAACAAATGGTCCCTGCCTTTAAAGATTCAGTTTTAGATCGACAGTCAGAACGTCCTGGAATTCTATTTTACGATTACATATTGGCAAGACTGAAAAATTAAGGGTATAGCTCCAAATATGCCCATGTGAGCATATGGGGACACACATACACATACACACACACACACACACACACACACACCATATATCTAGTGCTCTCCAGTAAGCAAGGGAAATTTCTTGCTAGTTAGAAGTCGAGTCATTACAGGAAATAGTACCGTTGAGAGTTTATACAGACAGCAAATAATGCTAAAATTATGAAGTCTGTAAAAAACTTTCAAGTTCTCACCCCATCCTATTCAGTCTTTCAGTCTCTTCCTAAAAGGATGTTTCCATATATAATATATAAAAAAATCGCTCTCTTGTAATTTCAAGCAATAACTGATGTAAAATACATTGCAAGAGGTAAGAAAGTGAACAATAAAGATTGTTGGAGAATGCACAATAGAAACATGAAAGAAAATAGATGTATGAAATATATACATGAAAAATAACTCCTAAAACATCCTGAAATAAATGTAAGACAGAATAGGGCTGGGGAGATCAACAGTTAGTAAACTGATTGACACATAAATCATGAGAACCTGAGTTCCACCCACAGAACTGATGTAAAAAACCAGGTGTGAAAGCAAGTGCCTATGATCTCTGCACTGAGGAGGTGAAGAAAGAGGATCCTGAGAGCTCACTGGCCAGTCAGTCTAGTCAGATTGGTGAGCTCCTGGTTCAGTGAGAGACTCTGTCTCAACAAGTAAGGTGGAGGAAAATTTGTGGAAGGTATCCCATCTGGACCTCTGGACACAACATGCATACACATGGCTACACACACACACACACACACACACACACACACATACACACGTGCACAGAGAGAGAGAGAGAGAGAGATATCAGTAATCACAGAAATGAAGGTGAATAGGAATTGTTGAAAATGTTCAGACATGCGAGATAAGGTTGAAAAAAATTAAATGAAAAAAAGTTAAAAATCAGGCCACTGGAAGCTTGCACATATGAACTTAAGGCAATGGTGGCATCTAACACAGACAAGGGACGAGAGTGGATTGAGGGAAATGGGTGGCAGGTCAGCCCTATTCTGGGAACTATTGAAGACTGATCGCTACTGGGTAAGGGAGAGTATGCCTTACCAACAACCTCTAGATAGGCTGACTAGACTCTAGTGGATGAATTTGCACCGAAGGACATCTGAGTACAAATGCTTGACAGGATATTAAGAACTGTTGTATGAAATGTACAAAGTTCAATAAAAAACTGAAAAAATTCATTAGAGAAGAAATGGTAAATATAAAAGATCCCAGAAAGCTCAGTATATACAATCTGTGTTTCTAGGAAGAGAACAGAACAAATTAGTGATTCCAGAAAGCTTCCCTCAAACATAAAAGTCCATTAATTTGTAGATTTTTAAGGCAATGTAGTATAAAGTGGAGTTCACAAATGAAAGATACATTTATACAAAATAAAAACCGTGTTTCCTATGGTATGAGAAATTTCCAAGCTGGCTTTGTTTCTGGATAACAACATTCAGTGTCAGCAATTAATTCCTATAGAGTCTTCTGAGAAACAGGATATGAACTACAAACTTAACAACAGCCCTGTAATTCAAGCACAATACAATCAAGAGGTATTTTGAACATGCAAGAAAGTAGGAAATACGGTTCCTGTGACAGCTTAAAGAAACGTCTAGAAGGCAGCCTCAAGGTAACTAAGAAAAAAGGAAAAAAATGGGTATGAGAAGATACCCCATTTCAATGTAAAACTATGATTAAATATCCTATATGAATTATGATTGCATAACAGGATATGTATTAAAGCTTGAGAGAAAAATAGTGCTGGTAGAGAAGGGGGTATAAGAAGCCAGATGACATAACAATTTCTTTATGGCTTGTAGTAAACAGTCTTGGATCATAATGAACAAATCAAGATACAGAAAAGTCTATATATTATAAGGGTAAGATGTAACTAGACAAAGTACAATAATAAAACAAACAAAACTTCCAATGGTAGAAGACACAGAGGAAATAGAGACACGTTTTTACTTTGTAGTATTTTTTTTTACCAAAATGACTAAATTCTGTTTAAATAAGTAGTGACAGTCTGTTCTAAAGTTCTCTAATTCAGCATTCTGTTCTATCAAATACATTTTTCCTCCATTATTGTTTCTCTTTTCTGTGATTTTGATGAGTAATGGATCAGTTCTGTGATTACATTTGCTAGTTCTTTTTACATATGGGATAATCTTCATTTATACATACATACATAAACTTATTTAAAGCATTTAGGGGTGATAAAGTTGATATCATTTCTGAGTAATATTCCTACCAAGGCAGTTAGTTTATTTTGTCTGTCTTCCTTATCTCCCCATCTAGCCAACATCTCTTCAGCTTTTATTCTGACTTGGGTGCTGTGCAAAGATGTAGAAGCCAACATCTTCATGATATTCAAAGTCTAGTAAGGAGGCAGATGAGTAATTTTAATACAACTAAATTATTTAACGTCAGGACAACCCACTCACAGGAAAACGAAATGTCTCTAGATGATTCTACACAAGCTTTCTAAAGTAACGTTTTGGTCTGGAAGAATGAGTAGGTCTTTACACCTCAGGCAGAGAATACAAAATACACAAAGACACAGAATGATGATCAGTTCAGTCTGACTGTGACATGAATGCACTGGAGAATGGGAGTAGAAGCAGAGCTAGCAGCATTGTGCTACACTGGACCCAACACCATGAAACAAGCTTTCAACGCCATTTGCTCCAAGTTGTAACTTCAGGTTGCCAAGAAACACTCCAGTTGAGAATTGCATTGATGACCCCAGTGAATAGCACACAGCCCTGCTGAGTTCCTGCAGGCTGCAGGCTGCTCACTTCTGGTCCCAATACAGTTCTCTCGAGAGGTGTTTCTCAGCTCTTCCTTTGTGACAGCTCACCTTCATCTCCAGGGCCTCGGGCACCTTCTTGCCTTCCCAAGCCCAACTCCGCTTGGTGAAGTAGTTAACAGTGGCAAATTCAATCAGTGCAGAAAATACAAAGGCATAACAGACGGCTATGAACCAGTCCATGGCCGTCGCGTATGCCACTTTAGGTAAGGAGTTTCTGGCACTGATACTCAAAGTGGTCATGGTGAGAACTGTGGTGACACCTGAGGAGAGAAAAGATGAGAACCAGTTGTGACCGGAAGACACTGGAAGCAGACATGGTGGGGTCACCAGCTTCCCACTTAAAAGGAAGGACTTTACCCCACTCAATAGGCTGTTTTGCCTTTGGAGTAGTCTGTTGTACTTTTCTTAATAAACTTTCTCCTTTTCCTGTGCTTCAAATGATGGCCCATTTCAAAGTAAACTGTAAAGAATGTCAAAGCTGAATAGACTTACCCAGTCACCACCTCATCCCAACTAACTCAAGAATAGAATCTCCAGTGCAGTACCTCTAGACTTGTTCCCTGGCCTCTGCATAAACATTTCTATTGAAGAGTAAAGAGCCCATTTCACTGTAAGAGAGTTTCTAAATTAGAAAGGCCTACTTGTGAGCTGAATCTGCTTCCTCTAATTATCAGCCCACTGACTGGTCTCAGTGCTCCTTTTGCGAGAAACAGGAAGGGAAAATCTGCTCCCTCATCTCCAGGATAGGCCTTTAGAAACCTGAAAAAGTGGCTATGCTTTCTTGTGAGTCTGCTCAACTCCAGAAAGAACATGGAGGTCTGTGTTTGCTCACCTTTCTCCCTGGTAGTCCCAGTAGTTCTCTTCTAACAAGCCTGGAACTTAGTCCATGACGCATGACAAGGCTCTGAATTCAGTATGGTTTCTACTTGTGGACGCTCTTCTGATAATGCAACAAACTACTGTGGAAAGTGTGTCAGGACCTGCACTGACTTCCAGGTCTCAACTGAGCTTTATGCCAATCAAAAGTACTCCAAATCTGTGTCTTGTGAGCTTTTGAGAAACCATAACTTGTTTGGTGGCCTCCGGATTTTTAAAAATTCTTTTAAAAATTCAGTTTTAAGCTGAATGTTTTAAAACTATTTCAAATATTAGACATGCATTTGAACCACAGTGTTGTAGCTAGCAATATTTAAACCAATCTGGAAAGAAATCTTAGTATCTGAAGCAGTAATATGACCACACTAAAGTGGGCTATCACTTTAGTAAGCCTGAGTTTTATTGAGTCTCAGTTTTACAAGCTCCAGTTTTTTCATATGCAAAATGGGGACAGTAGGTACCAAAAGATACAGTAATTTGTGGGGTAAATGAATGTGATGGCATTTATTAAGGTCTATAGCACAAGATGTAAAATGCACACTCCATAAACAGTACCCTCTATAATTATTACACTTATTTTATTGTTATTAACAATAGAATTATCATGTTTGTAATTTTCAATTGTAGTAATATTTTAATCACATTATTGGCAATACTGTCATCATAATTTTTTATTGGAAGTAATTATATAGACTTATTGAGCACTATAAGTTAGAAGTGAAGTCCTAGGCGCTGCCATTTACTTGCTTTCCATCTTGGCAATTCCTTTGATCCCTCTGTGCCTCTATTCTCTCCATCTAGGAGCATGAGATACCCCAGGATCTTCATAAGGCAGTTCTATACCCAAAGTCAATCATATCTTAAGGAGAAGTTATCACAATGTTTTCCTGAGTGTTAAAAAGCTGAAGAGGATGGGAACTATGTGCATGGGTCTAGTACGGCACCCAATGAAATTCTGGTGATCTAAGAGTTGCTACAGAATAAGAAAAACCAGAAGAAGTGCTGACTCAATTAACTCTACCCAGAGTGTAAGCCATGTGCATCACAGCCCCTGGTGCTTCCTCTCCTGTCTTCATCCTTCCAATTTCTTACTTCTACATTTGCTATCTAGACTAGAAAAGGCTATTCAACACAGACCCTAAAGGAGCACCTTTGCATAAACTGGGCACCAAAGCTGAGTAGCAAAAAAAAGCATGTGAAATTATGTAAGGATCAGTCACAAAGGTAGTAATTATAAACAAATGAACTGGCTTTCTAATCTGGTGGGCTCTGATCACAGACGCAAAGATCACTAATACTAATATGATACCAAGAATAGAGAGTGCTTTCTGGGAGAAACAAGCTGCCTCAGTAATGGTTATGAGCAAATGCAGTTGTCTACCTGAGCACATTCTTAACGGCTGTACTGCACCATGAGTGTTTCTGTGCCTTTGCTCAGAGGAAATTTTTAGAGTTTTAGCCTTTAAGGCTTAATTAGACCTGTCACCTTATGAAGGGCTCTTAGTTGGTCAGAGTTGGTAAGGCTCTTGATCAAACATTCTGTATACTTCACAGATAGACAAAGAGAATATCAGCATTTTCAAAGAGAACCAGCATGACAGTGATTCTCTTTCACAAGGGCTTCCAAAAAGCCCTTCTTGAAGTGTTCAGGTAGAGCTGGTTGACTTCTCATTTCCTATGAGTGAGTACTTCTTGTACACACACTTGTTAAGATGTGTCTGTCCTAAGAAACTGCATATATGATAAGTGAAACTGACATTAATTTCTACCCCTAACCAACACTTTCTCATATGCTCTTTTACGTCCATACCACTCTCTCCTTGGTCTCAGGTAACCACTGATCTATTGCCTTTCACTATGACTTAGATTGCCACCCCCCCACACACACACCACATACACAGTTTCATGTAACTACTACATTGTATGTACACATTTATGTCTGGCTACCTTCATTCACCATATTTTAGGGTTATTCACGTTGCTTCATCTATCTTCAGTGTAATTATCTTAATTTCAAACTGATTCCATGATATTTTAGTGTAACCTAATTTGTTCATCTATTCACTTATTAATAGGCATCTAAATTATTTTTAATGTTCAACTCATAAATAAGTGTCTGAAGAATTGCATTAAGCACTTTCATGAGAATGGTTTCATTTCTCTTCATAAATCCCTATATTTGGAACTAGAACATTAGAGTGTAAGCATATGTTTACCTTTTGATGACGCTACCAAAACTCTCTTTGAAAGTACTTGTATCATTTAATATTCACAGAAGATGTAGTAAAGACCTTGATTTAGGAAAATTTAACATTAATTGATATTTTTATGTAATAATGAAAGTCCGTCTCAGCTTACATGGATTACATTAAAGTCTAGCATTGTCTTTTAAATATATTGTTTATACAGTAAGTCACTGTTACTATATGTATCTAACATCCATTCACACATAAACATTTATGTATTTCTCATTTTCATGCCCTTTAAAAATAATTTCATCCTTACTTCTAGGATAGTTTCTCTTTCATTTGAAGAATAATGATTAGTATTTTCTTCAGGGAGACTCTAATGATAACAGTTTTTAGTGCTTTATTGTTTTTTTTACAATGATACTTTGGTTCTGTTGAGATGCACTGCAAGTATGTGCATTACAACTTTAGAAGCAGCTGAGCTAGGTTCATGATTACCTTTCTCTGCCAGTAACATGCATAGCACCTTCTAGTACAATGAAACTTACCCATTAGAGCTAAAGCTTCAAAGTCAATGCCAGCTTGATTTCTCCTTGTTTTGTGACTCAGGCATGCATTATCTTCCGCAACAGGTTCTTACCATCATGTTCTTGTGGGTAACCAAGAGCAATGACAATAAGCCATACTGTTTGAGGATTTATGGGACATGCCTGATCAACACCTCCAAAAGAGGAAGACCACTCCTGGCGTTAGAGTTTTATTCGATGGTCTGTGATGTGGATTGGGGTCACTGAATCCTGTTATAGGGTACCTATATTTAAACTCTTTTAATATTGTATATGAACATATTTTAAGAGGCTTCTACAATAATGTTTCCATATGACTTTTTCAAAAGGCTTTCATTGTTAGTTCCCCATACTCCCTCTTCTGCCTACTCATTTCTCACCCATTTAACCCTTCATATTCCCCCTTTATATCACTGCATTCTATCATCAGCCTTACCCATCTGTGAAGCCTGTAAGCTTCCATATATTTTTAAGAACTCTGTACTGTTTATTTGTTTTTCTTCTATATGCCAATAACACATTGTCTTAATTACTACAGCATTTTTGACATCCTGTGGGGCAATTCTCTCTTCTCTGTTCTTATTCAATAGGATATTGTCTACTCTTGGCTCTTTGTTCTTACATAAAAAAATGTGCAATCAGTTTTTAAATTAACATTTCAACTTGGAGTTATTAGCATCCATGCAGTTACTGTAAATAAGAATTCTAAGTTTAGTATGAGGCCAAGTTTCAAGTAAAAAATAAATTCTCAAGGAATCCTGTATTTCACACTGAGCCCCAGCCAAAATCAAAATGCTTCATCATTTATTTCTTACAGCATGTGTAGTTTCCTAATGTTCTCTTACATTGAGATTTAACATTTCTGTGATATTGGATTTACAGGAATGGTTTTGTCTTAATTCCTATGGCTTATGTAACAAGTTAGTAGAAATTTCATGACTTAAAAAAAAACAACAGCAACACACAAATCTGGGCTGGAGAGATGTCTGAACGGTTAAAAGCACCATCTGCTCTTGCAGAGGACCCGGGTTTGGTTCCCACCACCTGCTTGCTGGTTGACAACCATCTGTAACCCCAGTTCTATGGGCTCTAGTGCCCTCTTTTGGATTCTTCAGGTACTGCATACGTGTGCTGCACTTACACACATGCAAACAAAAATACACACATGAAATAAAAATTGTTTAAAATTTAAAAACTCACAACTCTATACTTCAGATATAGACTCCATAAGTATGAAAAGAGTCTTAACAAGTTAAGTTCAATGTGGACTAGGACTCTACTCCCTCTAAAGTCTCCCATAGAATAATCTGTTGTCTTTTGCAAATTCTGAAGCTATATTAATTGCATTTCTTAGCTACTGGGTATTTTCCTCCTTCTTCATTGCCAATAACAGAGTATCTCTCAATCTGGCCTGCTTCCTTCATCACAATGCTAATTCCTCTGTAGCTAAATGCCCAATAATGTAGGATAATCCCCCCGGCTAGAAGTCTTCAAGTAAATCAACTCTGGAGATTTACTTTCACCTTATACAATCACATTTCTGCATTCAGGGACTTGAAAATAAGTATTTCTCAAGTCTATTCTTCAGTATACCACAGTCTAAGTTATTATCCTTCACTTTAATCAAGCTCAGTACATTTGTAGTATTTTAAAACTTATATTATTGTTTACCAAAGACAGTAATCCATCCATTCATGTTACAATAGCAGTTTTTATGATGAACAATCCAGTTTCAGGTGTTTATTTCATCTAGGCCTCTAAATTTTTCCTTTTATGTTTTATGAGCTTGAATGCTAAGTTAGAAATTTTATTAGCTTTTCTTGGATTCTCATAGCATTTTTGTTATAGTTCTAAAATGGGTACCTTTAACCCACACCCAAATAACTTCTGTCCCTTTCATTTTATTAAAACTGTTCTCTTCAAGATCAGTAAGGTCCAAGTACATCACCATAACTAAGAGAGAATTTTATCTTCATCTTACATAAATTCCCAGTAGGCTTTCAGCCCACATGATTATTTCCTGCCAGTTACTCTTGATATCCATGCTGTTATATCTATCTTCTTGTTTTGTAACTTCTATTTCTCCACTGCTGTCTCCTACTGGACCTGACCCAATGTGATACTTCTTTCTGAAACATCATTTACTATTGATTTAACAATACTGTACAGCTTCAAGATGTTGATGAAAATGCCTTTTCTATGGGCACACAGCATGTCTAAGCATGTGCTGCACATTTCCTTTTCCCCAAGGGTAGTTCAATAGCCTGGAAGCATTACCTTTTGTTTTCTGAAAATTTTGTTATAGGAAAAACAGGCAGAAAATGTTTTGTATGCTTTAAGTCTCTAAGGGAAAAAGTGTTAATGGTATGAAAACTCCTTTGTAGAGATCAGTAACCTCATATTGAAGCAAATTTCTCAGATTATATGTACTGTTTGAGGAACAATTTAAGATATGTGTGGCCTCACTGAATATCAGTGAATTCAGGCTTTCAAAAAGGCTGGAGCAGAAGCAGCAAAGTCACATCTGCATACAAATAGTGCTTCCTTAAAAAGCCTCTGCTCACTTCTCTGTTTTCAACTCTTTATATTTTCTAGCTTGGGCACTAAATTCCTGTACTTTTCACTGAAGATACAGTTCCTTCCTGATTCCTGGGGCAAAATGAGACAGGAAATATTTGAGTAAACTTACTACCTCACCATTCATATAGCTACACTTTTTTAAGAACTCAGTTGCTTGAAATCCCAGAACCTGATGAGTCCATTGATTCTACTGGGCTTGGATACTGTTCTGTATCTCCAGCAATGGGTCTTCCACCTCCTTACTTCTACTCTGACTGTGAATGACACACTTCTTAGCAAACCTCTGTACTCCATTCTCCATAATGCAACACTTACCAAAGACCGTGCGTGCAGGCACAGATTCTCTGTTAAGCCAGAAAGACACTTGTGACAGAATGACAGTCATGATACATGGCAAGTAAGTCTGAATCACAAAGTAGCCAATTTTTCTCTTCAGATGAAAGTGGGTTGTCATCACGACATATTCTCCTGGACAGAGAAAAAATTAGGCAGTATGTAGTCACATAAGCATGTTAAAGCAACTTGGGCACCAATTCTGTTCACCAAGATCCTAAGTCTTACATTCAAAATAAGACATCCAGCACCTTCAAAATCCTTGGTATTCTTAATAATGATAATCATTTTGGTGTGAAAAAATATGCTAAAAATATACTAGAACAATTTGCAAAGAGAAGTTCATTCAAACCATGTTTCCATTTAAATAATAATAAAAAATAGTGATGTCTTTTAAAGCATTTGTTGTGAGATAAGCACTCATCTAGTACTTTAGTTTAATTAAAATATTTAATCTTTGTAATGACACTATGGGGCAAGTACTCTTGTGATCCTCATTTTATAAATCAAGAAAATAAGGCAAGGCATTAAATGACTTGCACACAATTATCCAGGTCATAAATACTGGTGCCAAAATTTATGTTCAGATAGGTTGAAGCCATTTTACTCTTCTTTACCTCTATGCCTTGTTATTTTAAAGGTGTTATTTGATTAGAACCAAAGGTTCTCATAGTGGCTAGAGAGATGAATCACTAGTTAAAAGCATGAACAGCACTGGCAGAAAACCTGTATTTGGCTCTCAGCAAACACATTGGGCAGCTCACTGTCTGTAATTTCAGCCTCTGCGGATCTGACACCCTGTTTTTGGCCTCTCTCTGAACCCACACACTCATGGTACACATACAGACAAGCAGGCAACATACACAAAAGCAAATACAAAAAAATTAATGTTCACATAGGAGAATGTTGGCCAACCTGTATCACCACACTCCCAAAGTAAAAGTGCATACTTACTGACGGGTGGTAAACTTTTGGCTGTGATAATTCTTACCAACTGCCAATAGGCAATTCTCATACTTCTGGATCTTTCACTAGCATGTGACAGAGGTGAACCCTTCATTTTCCTGGAGTCACACTCTTCACAGAAAAAAATGCTTTTCTGGTTTTCTTTCTACATCTTTGATCACCCCCCCACCCAATCTCCACTGATGTTTCTCTTAAATTTCTGAACAGTGGGGGATATAAAGAACCTAGATTCTATACTTGTCTTTTTTATTTTTTATTCTCACTCACTTGGCATGTCTTTAATATCTTAAACTCTTAAGCTTCCTACTTGCTATACATGGAATTTTATCTCCCCCAAAGATATTGTGAATTCTTAACCTACATTGCTTCAGAATATAACCTTATTTGGAAATAGACTTATTCCATATATAGTTACCATGAGGCCATACTCAAGCATGGTGGGCTCCGGGATCTAACATGGCCAATATTCTTATATGAAGAAAAGAGACACACTGAAAGGCAGAGGCAGAAAATAGGGTGAAACATTGCAAGCCAAGCGGCTCTCAAGATTGCTGCCTACCCCTAGAATCCATGAATTGGCAAGGGACAGATTCTGAGTCTGTACACATAATCTTGGCCATATTTTTATTTTAGACTTCTAACCTCCAGAACTGAGAGACAAGAACTTTATTTTAAGCCACATGATTAGTGATACTTTGTGTATTAGTTATTTTTTTGTTCCTGTGATAGAAACACCATGCCCAAGCGAACTTATACAAGGAAGAGTTCATTTAGCTTACTGTTCCAAAAGGGCAAGAGTCCATTATGGTGGGGAGGCATGGTGGCAGAGGTGACTGGAGTAGGAGCAGAAGCTAAGCACTCACATCTTCAAGCAGGCACAGGACAAGGAGAGTGACTGGAGATCCGACAAGGCTTAAGAACTCGCTAAGTTCACCCCTAGGGACACAGTTCCTCCAGCATACCCACACCATGTAAGACCTCCCGAAACAGTGGTACCAACTGGGGACAAAATGCCCAAATACTTGGAGCCTATGGGGGACATTCTTATTTAAACCATCACATTTTGCTTTAGGGTTACCCACTTATGTCTAGATCTACAAATTTGAGCCAATTATTCAACATCACTTCTTGGGGATCTAATAGTCATTTTGATCTAACGTACAAATTTGGGGCTTTACTTTCTGTATTCATTATTCTCTTATAAACTGTTTCTTCCAACAGATTACTGTCTCAAAGACTAGTAGTTTTGAGCTCTCAGACCTGCTTGGGTGGCTAGGACCCTAGCATACTTCCAGAATGGCCAGCTCTACCAGACTTACCATGGTGAGTTCCCTTTCACACACTTCCCCATACCCCCACTATTTCAGCTCTCAGGTCTACTTAGATCACTGGGACCCTCACATGTCACCAACCTGCCAGCTCTCACAGACCTGACAACTCTGCCAGACCTGCAGTAGTTCCCTTTCCCAAAGTTCTGCATGCCCCATCTCAGCTCTTAGGCCTGCTCAAGTGGATAGGATCCTTGTGTGGCCCCACACCTGCCAGCTCTCCCAGACCTTCAATGGTGAGTTTCCTTTCCCACACATCACTGTGTCCCACCATCTCACCTCTCAAGCATGATCAGGTAATTAGGATCCTTGCACACTACGACCTCTGCGCTCTCCCAGCCTAGCCTATCAGCCAACCTGTTCACCTAGCATCTACCCAGTCTACCCTGCCCCTCCAAGATTGTGAGAAATCAATCCTAGGCCCTTAAGTCAAAAGCTATACCTATACCTAACTGAACCGAGACCACTTCTTGCACCCAATTTGTATAACAACATAAATTGACCACAAATTGTGATAGCAAGCACTACTCAGCTGGACCACACTGACAAGGTGGGGAAACAATAAACAAACATAAGAATTATCATTCCACAAAGATGAGATCATTTATCCACACCAAGAAACACCACCACTGACACAAGTCTAGATGCTTAGATCTCATTGAAGAAACACAAACAACATGCATAATGAAGATAAGCTGTGTATACCAGAAATTAACACCCCACCATAATGTTTTCTGAGACTGGCAAGCAGATGAAAAAGACAATGATTTCAAAATAGCAATTACAATTATGTTTAAGAAACTCAAAGAGGATATGAATAAAAGACTGAATGGATATTATGAAAGCACTAACAGTTGGATGAAATAACTAAAATAATTCAAACGTGAAATTAGAATTTAATAAAAGAATCTCTGAAGAAAAGCCAGACTGAAATAAATCTTGAAATGAAAATCTCAGGAACTGAAACAAAAATCTTAGAGGAGAGAAGCAAAAAGGAAGTGGAGGAAATGGAACAGAGAATATCAGATCTCGAAGCCAACCCGGGAACAGAATATGCAAGACCTCTGGGACACTGTACGAAGACCAAACCTATGAGTCATAGGAATAGAAGAAACTCATGTCAAGGGCATAGAAAATATTTTTAGTAATATCGTAGAAGAAAACTTCCCAAATCTAGGAAAAGAAATACCTATAAAAGTACAAGAGGCATAGAAAACACCAAGTACACAGTAACAGGAAAGAAACTCCTCATGTCATATAATAGTCAAAACACTAAATGTACAGAACAAACATCAAATCACATATACAGTCCGGCCCATCAGAATAATGTCTGACTGTTCAATGGAAACTATGAAATCCAGAAGGGCTTGGACCCATGTCCTACAGATCATGAAAGAATTTTCAGCCCAGACTACTATACACAACAAAACTGTCAGTTGTGATCAAAAAGAAAAAAGAAAAATTTTCCAGATAAAAACATTTAAGGAATTTATGTCCACTAAACCATCTCTATAGAGAATACTCAGTAGAATACAAACAAGGAGAAATCAAGCTGGTGCTGATTTCAAACTTTCATCTCTACTGGCTGGCTTTCATAGTGCTGGAAAGTTCTATCCATGCTACCAGAGGAGAAAAGTAATCATCAAGCTTACCCAGCTGTGAATCTTGTGTGCTTCAACAACAACTAGCCTGGTAAGATATGCCCTCTGGTCAATACTGGCATGAATATTATCCACGCAATCAATCACTTTCTAATTGGATTTAAGATCTGCCTCATAAAATGGAGCCCATACCTGACACTGATAACAGGCCTAGGAACCTATGAGTAGACAAGTCACAGACCTTAGGCGAGTGCCTAATACTATTATTCTGGTAAATGGATATAGTATTAAACTGATTACTAATGATTTACTGTTATAGCCACAGATTAATGCATCTCTCAACTGTCAATGGAGAAGCTTCGCTATGCAGCAAATGACTATAAACACAGAGACCCGCAAGTGGCCAATGTGCACAGAATAAGAGGCTACAGAGTGCTTACCACCAAATAGGACACTTACATCAAACTTTTGTCAAGGCTCAGGGATCATTGTGGAAGAGAGGGCAAAAAGATTGTAAGGGTCAGAGGTGATGGATGACCATAAGGAAACCAGTTTTCCAGGTGGCTGGTTATTCATATGAACTCACAGCAATGGTGACTGCATGCACAAGTGCCATGTAAGCTCGACCAAGACAAAATCCCACTATAGATGTGGGGAGGTAGATGAGAAACTGCAATCCAATCTGAGGAACTATTGGCAACTGATGACTGTTAGGAGGGGGAGAGTCAGCCTCTTTCAATGATGAGAGTCTTGGTAGACTAGGTTCAAGTCTCCAATGGATGGAAATACATTGCAGGACATTTGGCGATACAAGGTTGGCACTATATAGCATATATATGCCATATAGCTCTTGGTGCCTAATCCCAAATTATCTGCAAAATGATTGACATTCTCTCTCTCTCCCTCCCTCCCTTGTTCTTTCCTTTTCTTCTTCTTGGACTTTGGTTAACTTGACCAATTTTTTCCCCCTACACATCTTAGTCTCATATTCCTGAGCCCTTACTTCTCAATCCTATCCCTCATTCATGTGAAATATTTGATATATAATATAACTGATATATTGATATGTAATATATTATTTAATATAATTTGGATGCTGGAGATATGGCTCAGTAGTTAAGAGCACTGGCTGCTGTTGAAGAAGACCTGGGTTTGGTTCCCCGTACCCACGTGGTAGCTGTTCATAACTCCAGTTCCAGGGGATTCAACACCCTCTTCTGTCCTCCCTGGGGACTGTACG